TTCTTTAAATGAAATTGTTGAGCTCAGCACTGACCCTTCCATCCCGTGGCAGAGGGGCAGGCGCGCCGGAGGGTCTCTCAGGCAATGGCGACAAATGACAGGCCCGGTCAAAGGGGACCGCAGCGCTCGCCTGTAGGGAGAGGCTGAGAGCAGTAGACTGGGGTGTCAATCTACAGAGCACGAGGCTGCCGTGCCGATGGAAAAGCCAGGTGGCAGGGCCCGCCTGGCGGCTAGCGTGCGGAAGGCTAGAGCGCCGTAGATTGGTACCCGATTTGCCGCTCTGTACAGACAAGCCCTTCCATTCGGTGCGGGGAGCCACTGGTGTCTGCCACTTTGTGGCAGCTCGTGGACTGGTGCTCCAGAGCCTACTCTAGCTTCCCCCCGGGGCTGGGCAAGGGCGGGAAGGACAGAGCTGTGGCAGGGATCACTTACAATACTGGGGACAGAAGTTCTACGCCAGAGACAGGGAGCCCAATGCCAGGGGAAGCAAGATCCTTAAACGTGGGTTAGCTCATACAGGGCTTGACTGGGTGCTGGACACAGAGCCAGCCCAAGCTACGGGCTGACCGGGCGACAGCCTTGGGCGCCCGATTTTGAGGGGTGCCACGCGGTGCTGCCAGGCCGGGTGGGGGCGGAGCCGCACATGCGCTGCACGCCCAGGGTGCCAGAATGGCTTTGGCCGGCCCTGGCTGGACAGGGCCTTTTAGTTCAGCCTTATGGCTGGGCACACACATCGGGTTCCACCTGGAATCAAAGGGAGCCTCCCGGAAGAACCTGAGGCAGGACCAGCCTGCTCAAGAGGTATCTGATTGTTTCCGTGCCGTGCCCCAGGAAACGCCATTAACACGAATGGGAATGGCAAGCAGTACGGGAAGACTAGCCCTGCAGGATGGGAAGACCCTGCAAAACGTTTGCTGTAAGTGGCCTCTTGCACCAGGGGGAGCGACTCGGGCTGCCTGTGAGTACACGGTTCTCTGCTGCTCACCAGGGCTGGATCGAGATGGAGGAACCTTTCACAGATCAGCACGAAGGTCTCCAGGACATTTTTCTGGCCAGTTCCAATGGAAGCCAGGTTGGGACGGGTGGGGGCACGTCTGCTCAACACCCGCACTGTTCAATGCATTCAGACCCTCAGCACCTGTCCCGGTCTGGCACAGTCCGCAAGGTGCCCTATTCACACATGGCTGTTGAGAATCTGAAAGCGACCGGCGAACGACCAGGCGGCAAGTGACTCCTTTCTTTTCAGCGGGTCAAGCGGAGAGAAAAGACCCTCAGGAAACAGCATCAATAACGAAGAGCAGACGAGAGTCTTTCAAATCTGTCGGTGTGAACTCAAGGTGCTGTTTGAACAAGAACGCCCAATTTTTTTTTTTTTTTTTCAAATCTCGGCACTGCCCTTTGCAGGGTAAATTCACGCTCCGAGCAGCAGGTGCGAATCCCAGTGCGACAGGGCAGACTCATGCTCGTGCTCATGGACAGGGGCAGCCCGAGGCGGGCTGCCGGCAGCTGGTGCCCCAGGCGGAATGCGCGATCGGCGCCCCCACCTCCACAGCCCTCAATGGCGTGATGGCATCACTGGGCGCCCCGTTTAACGCGGCGCCCTAGGTGACGGCCGAGTCAGCCTATACACACGGGCCGCCCCTGCTGATGGACCCTGTGTGCTAAAAACAGCGCAGTGCAGGGCACGAGCAGCAGAACAGGCCAGCTGCGTGACTATGTGGCATCGGTCTTAGATGGGTCCGTAGTGGGGGAGGCTCGCCCCTTCCATGGCCACACTCTGTTTTCACACTTCATGCCAGCTGGTGTAAGCAGAGGTGACTTGCTGGGGGAGCCAAGTCCCCTCGCCCCCTGATTTGCAGCTCACATGGACGGAGCATGCTCAATAGCACTGCTGAAGCCACCTGCTCTCGCTCTACCCCCCCTCTCTCGGTTGTCTCTGAGTAAGTCAGTCTCCTCCAACCCCTGCCCGCATGCTGGACCCAGCCTAACAATGCACTTGGGCCAATATTGCCAAATGACTTGTGATTTTGGCTGCTTAATTTGAGCCACTGGAAAGGGACCCGATTTTCTGAAACCCCTGGGTACCCACCCTCAGGCAATCCGGCTGCTTTAAAGTGTCGCACACTGAGCCCAAACAAAGTAACACCTCCAAACATCACGGCACCATTCTCTTTACCGATACGAGCCCCTTAACAACATGCTGCTGAACATCTCCCCCTCTGACATGGCCTTTTTGCAAAGCACAGGCTTCTACGGCCACACACATCCGACACGCCAGTCCTAGGGCAGGTGGGCCTGCAGCAACATATTAAGAAGAAACAAAGCAAGCGAGACGTCAGACCTGCAGCGCTATTCATTAAAAAATAGTCCACAACCAGTGCAAACATATTCTTTAGAAAAAGGCAGTATAAGAATAAGTTAAAAACTAAAATGGACTATAACAAAAGAGTAAATCTACGGCTTTTTTTTTTTCTCTCCAACAGACATGAGGTAGTTGCGTTGTTAAGGAGGAAAAAATAAAGAGAGAAGTAGTAAAAATGCTACTCTATACCACACGCTACTCCACTTTATAAAATTAAATAATATAAAGATGCTCCGAGGAAATAAAATACATTGTCGTACATTAAAAGGAGAGAGGCTGTACCTAAAATGATAGGTACAAGAACCTACGTAACACAAAGTCCAGCTCGGTGAAGTGACCGAGACGCTGGAAAAGGTTCTATATCGTACAAGTTGTTAGAAGCACTCGCAGAGTGTGTAATAAAAGGCCACTACGTCAGCCTGCTAGTAGTATCTACTGTGGTAGTGTACAAAGGGATCATTAAAATCATTTTAACCATGGGCGAGCGGAGAAGGCCACTGGCTATAGCTAGCTGCCTTTCGGCAGGGGGCTGGTTCAACCGCTTGGGTTGCTTGCTCCACAAAATGCATCACAAAGCTGCAGAGGGCAAGGTGAGGCAGCAGCCCTCTGCCCTGATGAACAGCAACACGGGAGAAGAGAAGCTTAATGTCCTCTCCCTCTTGCCACCTGTAACAAGGTCCTGGCAGGCCTCCGCATGGAACAAATGGAAACCCCTGCACAGCTGAGGGCGGGAGGGTCTGTTTGAGTTCTGGGCTCATGCCAATCTACACGTTGATTTATTTAGGGTGGATTTCGGGCTGTTCGCCTGTCCAGGAACCTGTCCCGTTAGGTGCTGAACACCCTCAGCCACACCGAACTGACTGTGAGGTGAGTTGTTCACAGCTCTCCCCCGGATCTGGCCCCCATCGTCGCTCGCGCCTCCCTCTTCCAGCTCTCCCGTGATCAAAATCAGATTAATTTCCTCTTTAATGGTTATGGACACGCGTCACGTTCTCAGATGCTGAGGATGAATTGATTAGCGCTGAGATACTACACAGAGGTGCGTCCTGTGGGCCTGTGGGAAAAGCTTGGCACTTGGCTGGCTGGATGTTCCCTCGGCCGGCTTGCAGACAGCCCGAATCTCCACTTTCCACAGAGTTCCCATTTTCTCCATGCCTGGGGAAGCCATTGGTGAGCCCACAAGTGCCGACGGCTTCCACTTTGTTCGTTTTTCTGTCAGTACTTAACGGGCTCTCCTGGGCGTGCCGCTCAGGTTGGCCGGGGCTGTCCACTATCGCTTTGCTGACATTCGACCTGGCGATCGGGGAGGCGTCCAGGAGTGGCTCGTCGGAGGGGAAGTTGTCTGGGCTGTGCTCCTCGGGCTCCGTTTCTTCAATGTCCAGCGGGTGAAGCCGAGAGCCACAGTCTCTGTCAGCGGCGGAAAAATCGGAATGGACGATGACTTCGGCCTCCACTTGATGGAGGCCGATGGGCGGTTGAGTTTTCACCACTTCGTTCTGTTGTGAAGCAGAAAGCAAAGGGATTAAAGTGACTAAACTCGGATCACGTCGCCCCTGGAGCCCGACAAACGGAGAAGCCCTTGTTTAACCGGAAGCACGTGTAGGCCCACTCATTTCAATGGGCCTACGCACATGCTTAAAATTAAGTGCAGCTTTATATGTCTTACTGGATTGGAATCTTAAACACGGCTCAGGCTGAGATACAAGCAACAGCCCAAGTCGCCCAGCAGACTGGCTTAAAGGCATGACAACTTTGGGCCACTCAGGAACAAGAGTGTACGATACAGAGGCAGCAGTGCGGGGCGGCAGCAGCCCCTCTCTGCGGGGATCCGAGCTCCCCACGGACAGAGGCTTCTCCGCCTCACAAGGTGTCTTCCACAGTGTGTCCTTTCAGTCCCAGCCAGATTTTCCATCAGCGTTTGGCAATTAATGGTGGAAACAGAACTCACTGTACGCCCAAAACTATATACGTCATTTAAAAAACAAACACTGGGCTATGTCATTTTAAAAGGTAAACACTCTAACAAAAGCCTGGGCAGATCAATAGCCCAAAGCATTTCCGGGCGTTTGTTCTTATGAGTTTAGACTGTCGTGAGCCCGGCAATGATTTCAGGGGGGAAATATTTCCTAAGGTCGGGGCTTGGCAAATGTGCGAGGTCGGAAGGGCTGTGTGGTCAACTGTATTTGCAACTCTGAAGTCAGCACACACAAGGTATTGCAGTCACCTCCCCAGTTTGGACGGCTGATCCCCAGGGCAGACACTGTGCACAGAGAAGGGACGTAAAACTCCATTTAAAAATGGAACCGTGGCACTGCTAAAAATCGTAGCTGTGACCCGGTTACACGCTGCTGCGAGGTCGGAAGGGCTGTGTGGTCAACTGTATTTGCAACTCTGAAGTCAGCACACACAAGGTATTGCAGTCACCTCCCCAGTTTGGACGGCTGATCCCCAGGGCAGACACTGTGCACAGAGAAGGGACGTAAAACTCCATTTAAAAATGGAACCGTGGCACTGCTAAAAATCGTAGCTGTGACCCGGTTACACGCTGCAGGTAAATAAGCTTTATA